CACACACACACACACACACACACACACACACACACACACACACACACTCATGTAGATTCACTTATAAGACGAATAAAAATGTCGTGGTGGTACAAATAATTGTAAATTGTGAAGGGAGGATAAAAAAACAACCTCACACAGATAGTATTTCTAGGCGGTAAGACAAGAGAGCGGCCACAAGCAACAAACTATCAGCTCGCTCTGGGAAGAGAATTAAAAGCTCTAAGCTCACCGTTTAGGCAGGAGACCCTGAGATGGTGTGCTAAGTGGGTTAAAGCACACCTCGAGTCTCCTAATCGCTCTGTCCTCCCCTCCTCCTCTCTCCTCTCTCCTTCAATCCGTCTGCCACCACCAGCTGAGGGGAGCAATTTCAAGTGCCACAGAATATTTGGAGTTGCCTAGGTAGAGGGAGTTAGATTAAATTGAAAAATGCGTACACGCAACTTCGTCCGGACACAAGCCTGCATTTGAATGACTTGGAGGTCTTCCTTGCCCAGTAAAGGGATGCATCTCTGTTTTTACGAGGGTCTGCTGCTCTTCCTCTCACACCTACTGTAATGTGTGATCTAGTCTCTCCTTGTGAGGGCCGATCCTCACCGTGTGTGTCGAGCTATGGGACTTTTTTTTTATTGATCTGCGTGCACTCTGTTTGCTCTTACAAAACAAAAAATGCATCTCGAGTCCACACTGGATCCCTGGCCAACATGCACACACACACATAAACACCTACCCCCCCCCCCCTCCTCTATATCTCACACAACATCACTACCCAGACACTCTGTGGTAACACGAGTCTACGGTGAAACTGTAGAGGTGTAGCTCGGCTGCAGCACCGTCCCAGACCCCAGAGAGACCAGACACTGTTTGCCTGCGGGACTTCAACTAGCGAGAGCAAACAGAGAACGGTACAGTCGGCCCACTGAGACCGAGCTGAAACACACAGAGCCGCACAAAGTACTGTACAAACTGAGAGATTGTGAGAAAAGAGAAACAAAGAAGGAGGCCAGCAAGCCGGGGAAGTGAAACAGAGCAAATAGCACCAGAAGTAAATCTCAAATACTGAATATTTAGTAAAAGAGCACATACAGAACACAGAAGACGGAGGCTCTCTGGTACTTTCTCTGTTTTTGTGTGCACATACTTGACCAATAAAAGGTGATTCTGACACGTATGTACGTATGAGAGGCTCTGATGCGCTTGGCACACAAATGAAACCCTTTATCTTCACCTTGCCCTCCATCTGTCAGTAATGGACAGGCACTTCCAAAACTAAAAAGGTTTGAGATCCCATTTAATCCCTCTCCACTCAGCACCAGTGGGAGTAGTTGCTGAAGAAAACTCATCTTACACAATATGAATGAAATGCCACTGCTTTTGTCTCTGACTGGCAGAATACTGAGCCTCCTAAAGTAAAAGGAAGGAGGCCCGCCCACCTCGACTCTCCGGATTAGGGATCAGATTCTGCAGGTTAGAGTCACTCTGGGAATTGTGAATAGTTGGATATCTCACTCTAAATGTGGTCTTGTGATGAAATGTGCAGAAAACTGACAAGAATTATTTCATAAAAGGTGTGTTGCATATTTTTAAAATATACTTCTTTTTTATTTTAATGCATTTGTGTATTTTGTTGAGATGTTTCACGGTTTGACATGCTGGGTTTCTTATTGCTTGATTAAAATGAAAATCAGCAAAATAAAATGTCCCAAAAACTCCATGCATGCACATGTAAATGCGTCACTCACACACACACACACACACACACACACACACACACACACACACACACAC